TTGCTTTTCTGCTGCCTGTCTGCTCTCCCCCTTTCTTGCTGCCGTCCATTGCTGTAAAAAAAAAAAAAAAAAAAAAAAAAAAAAACCATTTGCCAAACCCACCAAAGCCACAAGAAAAGACAAGTAGAATTTTATATTCTCTGCCCACTTTTATTCATGATTGTTGTTGGCTTCCATTTTTTAGAAAGGAAAAGTCCCGCTCTTCTTGGACAATACCATCTTTCTCAAAACATGGATTCGGAAAGACATCTGACAGAATTTATTTTGAGTCTAAATTATTAAATTAGGAGAGCTAAGAAGATATTAATAACTCTGATTTTCTCTTTTGGCTACCACCTTGCTCTGCATTTCTCTTTTTCCTCCTACTCTGCTACTTTTTCAGTGTTAAAACCTCTATGCAAAAAACACATTGTATGTGTTTTGCATGTTTTTGTTCATGCTTCTATTCTTTGTTGTCGTTGTGGTGACTCTGAATGGAATTCTCAGTTATCTATTCCTCTGCAATACATGATACATCTTATTTTTGTTCATTGATAGATGATGCCACATGCTTGAGATTTTTACGCCATCATTATGTTGGTTCTTTTGTGATTGTTATTATTTGTTTTAAAATGTGTATGCTGTGTGTGCACAGATTAGAGCAGAGATCCATGATTTAAATTCAAAATAATCCTCACATCAAACTTAGTTAAGTTCAATGTTGTTTTTTGAAACTTTGTATGCTGTTACCAATAACGTTAAGTTTAAATCATTTTATCATAACATTACGTATTTAAATTTAACTAATAATGTTAAGTAATAAAACGACGTAACAAAACAACATTCGTTGAGACACGCCAAAAACAAGAATCTTCATTAACATTATTAATAAACCAATCAATATTTCATAATTTTTTGCATGTAAGTGTACTAATATCGATCCAAAGCCGCATGGCCTACCTGTGTGGTCAAATCTTTTGATAGAACAATTGCTCGACGTTTTCAATGTACATAGCATTAATCTTTAGTACATTAATTCAAATAAAATTGTGGCTCAAGGGAACAGTTAATGATCCACATGGCATCAAAGTATCTTACTCAATTGTATATTACACATGTGTATTGCATTATGTGTGTGTGAATACCTTTTTTCACCGTCAATCTATATTAGTTTTGAATTCTAAGTTGATTTAACAAACAGGTTTCTTTTTATTTCAGATTAATTTGGTTCTCGCTAAATGAATCAAAGATCATAAGACTAGAACCAATGGTTTCCAAAAAAGGTTGGTTCTTGAGTATTTTCATTTATGCTTTTTCAGTTCTTTGAATGGACTTCCTATAATCCAAAATGAGCTATTGAACAACTCTTTTGCTACATTGTGTTTGCAAATCAATATTTAGGCTAATAATTGAAGGCTGATTCTTTTTTGTTGAAAAATGTAATCTGGATTCTTAAACTGCGGCGGTTAATTTGGTTTTTAGGTGAATTTTTTGGGTGGGGGAGAAGGGTTGGTGGGGGCTTTAAATTGTTATTCTCAATTGGTATATAAATATGTGCAAAACATGGATATCATGGAAGAATTCAAATGTTTTTTCTGCATTAGGTTGGAGAGCATGATCATTTTCTGTTTACACATCACAAAGTTTGTTTTGAGTACTTCTCAAGCCATTGAGGCACAAATGTTCTTCCTGCATTAGTTAATGTTCTTTATATCAAAATTTAATAAATTCAATTTTCCTTTGTATCCAAATATGTATTAAAGTAATTGTGATTGAAGTTTGTTTGTCTGCTTTCCAAGATTTATTTTTTGTTTACATGTCGTACTCCGTTTATGAATGGTTTTTGGTTAACTGAAAGAATGCTTTTCATTCTTGGTTTTCAGGACTTTATCTACCGTTTACAAGTCAACCCCATAATACCAAAGTACAAGAGAAGCAAAGATTTGAGGTGATTTTTGCTCTAACTTATTTAGATTTTATATTCTGGGTTAATTATCAGCCGGATTCTGTTGCTAGATTTAGAATTGTTATTTGGTACCATTGCTGCCACTTGCCGCTTCAGTTTTCACATCCAAATGCCACAAAATGCTAATTTTAAATTCTAGGTTATGGGTAAGCATTATTATTTGGAGGCACAAATTATTTTCAGCCGCTAAACCAAGTTCTAAATCTTTTTTTGTGTAGTTTACATTAGGCTATCCAAGCCCTATTTTAAATGTATGATCGGTTTGCGTGAAATGAATGAAAAAGAGAGTCAGAATACCCTGTGAGATGACCGATTCCAGAAACCATTTTAAATAAAACGTATCAAAAGTGTTGAACGGAGAGCTACAAGATTATTTGCATGGAAAACAGATTTCACTTTGTTTTCTTTCCTCAAAGTGCTTTTATTTAATCCGGTTCTGTTTCGGTTGCGTAATTCGTGGTTCGCAACGACTAAGAATTGTTTCCTAAGAAATCTATTGAGCTAAGTTCTTTTGGTGGGAAATTAGGGTTGCTGATGTTAGCAATGGATTGAGTCTTTCTGTTTGGTATGATTATATCTCTGAACAAGCATTGATAAATAGAACGATTTTGATCAATAATTTTATTCGGTCAAGATTCAAACTCCCATTGTAGAGCAAACTATAACTCAAACTCCCATTGCAGAACAAACTAGAAGTCAAACTCCCATTCCAGATCAAACTATGAGTCACACCCCCATTTCAGAGCAAACTGGGAACGAGGAGAAGCAATAGGGCATGGCTATTTCCGGGGCATCGGTCGTTTTGAGATTCTGGTGTAATTAGGTTTGAACATTCTGCTCCTCTGCTTCTTGATTTATATATATCTCGAATTTCTCTCAATTGCTAATGGATTTATCTTCTTGGGAAATTTCAGAAAGTCGGGTCATGTGAGGAAGAAGCTGGTTTGTTGCCATTTTTAGGTATATAATTATGTGCCCAGATAGCATATTCAAAGCCTATTTAGTTATATGGGTTTTTTATTTATCTTTCTAAAGCTTTTGTGCCTGGATTTTAAATATGTGATTGATAATTACTTAGCACGATAATTGTCAAGCATTTGATCGTTATTCATGAATACAAAATCTTCATTCACAAATCTGATGAGCTATTTAGAAATTCGGCATTTTCGTCATCCAATTCAATAGCATTGGGGATACTATGCTAGAATTCTATTACAGCTCCAGTTAAGAGATGTGAAGCATGAAGAATATCTCTTTAGGAAGTGTTAGCTAATCCGGTTAATTGGTCAACGAAATTAGCCATTTCTGTCATCTAGATTGGATAAGCTAGGAAGAATGTTAATAAGTACGTATCAATTGCCGCATTCGCTCATCTATCCTTCTCTTCATTTAGGTAAAATGTATCTTATTCGTGCAGTTCAAGGTGATGCATTCAAGTCCCGCAGCAACGCGCGGGCACATTTTCTAGTTGTTACAAAATATCCTGCATATATGCAAAGAACCAAGACAGCTTTCATGGTGGTCTTCAGATATCATGATCGGCACTGCTCAAGCACTTAATTTATCTCTGAATCTACTTTATTTGTTCATAGCAAATAAGTTTTTCTTCAATTTGTCTGATGCTGAAACTATCACAATATATTTTGCTTCCCAATCTTACATCCAAACATATACATCATTGCACTTTTTGTTAACACCATCGCCATGCTATACTTTTACAATTATACATGAAATCCTAAAAGGTGAACATCTCATGTACGCAAGGCCATTCGAGAAAAACTAAGTCCAATGAGCGTGTGTTACAGTATAACGATATTACAGCATTTTCTGCAAACTAAAAATGAACAAAATGTTACAAGAGACTTATCCTCCTCGTACCTAATAGAAGAACAAAAATAGAAGAGTGGTGCTGCTTACACACTGCGACTTTGCATCTCTTTTGGTTGAATCTCTGGCATAGATGAGAGAAGCACATTATTTAATGTATATAAAAAGTTAGATTTCAATGCGGGATCTAAGAAAAAAAAGAGTACTCATTGATTGTATTTAGACAAACATATTTTATTCAAGTGCATATAATATAATATATATATATATATATGTATATGTATATATATAGCTCATGGTATTGACCAAGATGGCAAAACACAAGAGGCATAGAGAACTTAAGGAAAGAAAAGCAGAAGAGAAAGAAAGAGATCAATTGAATAAGTAGTGATTGAGTTAATTTCTTTAACATCAATAATCTTACATAAGTAGTTCTTTTTGCAGGAAGCACTTTAAATGCTTTTTGAACTCAAAAATATTTTACCTAAAAATGTTTTCAGTCGTTTAAAAGCACTTGGCAAAAAATCTCTTTAGTATACTACCAAATTTGCCCTCAAATATTATCCTAATTCTGATTTTGCCTTCTTATACATGTGGTGGTCATTAATCTGACTCGTTAGAGGTGGTGTCTTCCTCAATGGCCAGATTGATGATTGCAGCTGGGAGGCATTCCCCATCCTATACTGCATCCGTGTGTTGAGGAATTCCTTCCATGCTTGCGACTGGTCTTGGGTCCCAAGATCAGCAAACTGTGCGGCAGACTATGTGGTGTCTCATTCTGGCTCAGAGATGTACGATTCTGTTTGGGTCGAAAGACCCCCATCTTCGCTTGTGGGCATTCTCAGCAATGACGGCCTTTCTTGCACACCGAACTAGTTTTTTTTGATGTTAAGAGATTGGGCTGACTTCAAGGTCTTGTGTGTCTGTTTGTACCCCCGGTCTCTCTCCTAGTTGGTTGATCTGTTTGTTTTCCTTTGTTGGCTTTCTCTGGTTAATATTTTGATCAGTTTCTGAAAAAAAAAAAAGAAAAAGTAGGATGGGGAACGGCACTGTGCAATTTTGCCTCAATTTCGCTTTATTTACGAGTTTGCCACCGGGCTGATTTCAGCCCAAATTTCGCTTCATTTACAAGATTGCCAATGGGCTTAAGAACGGGTCTGCACTCTTTGGGCTGGATCTGGGCTTTGACTCGGGGAGAGAGAGGGAAGGGCGACAGAAGGGTTGAGAGGGGAGGGGGAGGTTCGCCGGGATTTCGGGGAGGGGATTTTCAGGAGGGACGTGCGGGTGGGTGTCCTGTGGGTGATGCTTCGGTCGGAGAGTTGTTGGGGGGAGGAGAGGAGGGGGACAGAGAGACTGACGGAGTGGAGAGAGATGGGAGCTACGGGTTTGGACTGAGTGAGACAGAGAGGTTTAGGTAGGTTAGGGCCTATGAGATTTTCTCCGATTTTAGAGAGACGGACAGGGAGATAGAGATAGAGAGAAAGAGCGAGGAGAAAGTATGGCTGTGTGCATTTTTTGGGTTTTCAGTTTTTTCTTCTGATTCAACAGGTACTGCACTGTTTTAAATTCATTGTTTATTGTTTTGTTTTCCATTTGCTTTGTTAAAATCATCATTCGAATTTTGTTGTTTCACTGTGCTCATTTCTGTGCTTTTTCATAATTTCCTGCTGTTTGCTTCTCATCCCTCTTTTGGTAGATTGTTTTTCCATTCCTTGGTTCCTTATGTATTCCTTGGTACAAATCTGTTTACCATGTTCGAATACAAACTCTTATTCTCTCTAATTTTTGGCTGTGTGATGATCCTTGCAGGTGAACCATATGAACGGTTTTTAGAAATTGATAGCAGCAGGTTCATCCTGACCCCTTCACTATTATCTGCTTAAAGCAAAACATTTTAATTATGGCCTTCGTTGCTTGACATTTTTAGGTATATAATTTGCCATACTTTTGTTTTAGTTTCTTCAGTTAGATGTAATGTCACCCATTTGAGTCAAAAAAATTTCTCAGGTGCTGGGTTTCATTGTAGTAACTGATTCCACAATGTTTGAATAGGAGCTCTTCTAATATCTGGTTTTAGGTTTTGAATTCTGCTCGAACAAAACTGAAGTCTATTTCATCTGCTTGATTCAGTACAGTTTTAGTGGAAAGAAATCAAATTCTATATGCTTATTTTATGTTTGCTTTCTTACATTTAAAATTACTATCATCTTAAGCAATAAAGTATTTATTTGGTATGAATTACCTGTGATGGTGGATAAAAAATGGTGCTTGGACTTCATAGGAGCGATTCTTTTATGCATTGGGTGTGAATTTTGAAATGGGTTTGTAGTGGGTGAACTGAAGTTGTACAAGCTTTCATTGCCTAACTTGAACTGCCTGTGTAAATCTTAATGATAACATATTCATGGTGGGGATGGAGTTGGAGGACTGAGAATGCTATTTATATTTCTTACATTTTTCATTTGACATGCTTTTGGTAAATATTGTTAACATGACATTGATTTGTAAACTGTTTGTTTTTCAAATTTTCTAATTCAATTTAGATTACCAGAAATCATTTATAAAATGATTTCAGATAAAGAAAAAGGAAAATACCTGTGACATATTCAGATGACATAACTATGAAACATAAAGTATGGGAGATGTTATAGATTTAGAAACGATTGTTTAGTTAAATACAAAACAAATTCAATGATTTATTGAGTTATATTACACAGGTATCCTATCTGCCATAAGCTATCCACTTATTGGTAGTTTAATTTCCTTCCAACCTGATCTCAGTTTTTATATTAAAACTATACATTAATTTGGGACCACTCGATTTTTTTTTTTAGTTTCTTTTAACATGGCTAGCATAGATCATATATGTACTTGAAATTGTTTTGTTTTTTGTTGTCTTTACACCATAAGGACCATTAGGTATTAATTCATATATGTATTGGGTGGGTTGGTTGGGTTGAATTTCAGTAAGAGAAGAAAAAGTAATCAAACACAAGAAGCAATTGGAAACATGGCTGCAAGTGATAAGCCGAAATCCGTTTTTCAAATAACTATATTACTTTTGTAGTGTATGCATGCGTAAGAAAAATCCAAATCGTACAACAGGATCTTAGGGCTGTGTGTTTTGTGTTTGGTAAATCAATGCATTGAGAGAATATGAATGGTTGCGTCTGGTTTGGATATGTGTCTATGGTGGTACCCCCATTTCAAGGCAAATGGCAGCGCTTGAATATGGTAACCCAATGGCTTTCTTTGTTATTTTTTCGACTGTCTGCCTTGGCGTAGGTGGTAATAGGATTAGGTGGTGTTGAGAGCAACCTCCAAATTGATTGGTAAATCAAGTATTGGATGCTAGCGTTATCTAAATCCTCTCGAAAATTGGTTTAGTTAGTACATATTTGTATAATATTTTGATAGCAAATGTGTTATATTCTCTCTGTATTTGGTTCGCAAAGAGAGGGCAACATTTTTCGGCCTTTGGATATTAAAGACTACAGATGGTTTTACTTTGTTAATTAGTTTAATTAGCATGTCGTTAGGTGGGGTCTGGTACGTATGATGGAACTAAAGTGTGTGACAGATGAATCACAGTTGGTATAATAGTTGACAGTGGATCTTTGCACGATAGACATCTTGCTGGATGGATTGTGCTTTTACCAACCCTAATAAAATTATATTTGAACCATGCTGTCTTTTGCCTGTATATGCAAAAATCATTTCCGACTGGGTAAGTGTTTTCTGTTTGGAGTGTGTGAGTGTGTGTGTGTGTGTGTGTTCATTGTAGGGAATCTTTCCCTGGAAGGCTCACTGGATGCACTGAAACTTGATCTTAATTAGCTACTTTTCAACTTTATTATGTAGCGTTATAAGTTTTCAAATGTATCTGTTTATATGCTTTCATAATACATATGAAGATTCCGAGTAAATTATAACATATTTCAATTTTTAATTTTATGAGTATAGAATTGGAACTGAATGCTTCGTTATTTTGATCTTGCAGCTGAAGCCAAGAGAAAGATCTCATGGCAGGAATCATGGACTTGATGAAAGTGAGGTTAACAAAGTGTGCTTTAGCACCAAGATTGGAATCTGGGTGTTCTGAGTTTTGTTTTGTTGTAATTTTTCTATAATCTAGATGCTGAAATACATGGAGTTGGAATTAATAAGAATCGATTGAACATGGATTTTTTGTTAGATTGGTATGGCTGACATAGTTAAGAAGTAGTTTAAGATGCGGTGATTAGGGAATCTCTTTAACTGGACATATTTGTTTTCGTGAGGTAGATAGAATCCTTTGTAATTTAATTAATTAGATTGAAATTTGGGGTCTGGATTATTAAACTATGGTGGTTAATGTGGTTTTTTGGTGAATTTTTCAAGTGGGGAAAAAGGGGTGGGTGTGGGATTTATATTGTTAATCTCAGTTGGTATATAAATATTTGAGTGTGCAGGAAATGGATACCATACAAGAAATGCAAGAATTGAAATTAGAAGGGATGAGGGCAGTTTGCAAAGGGTGGGTTCGGGGATGGTAAAAGTTGCATAGGTGGCAAGATTAATGGTGGTAGTTTCGTGGTGGCGTAGTTCTCCGTGAAAAATGGCGACGGTGGTTACCTTGCTATTTCTATGCAGCGAGCACAGTATCGAGAGAGGTGAGGGAAATAAGGAGAGTGGTAGAGAGGGAGTGAGACATGAGGGTGGTGGCAAGGTGGTGCCTCGAGGGAGTGGCGAGTGAGGTGGTGATGGTTTCTTGAACGGGAGATTGATGGTGCACTAGAGAACTTGACTCCTCTCTCAGTCTGGTCTTTGGAGAAGAAAACCAAACAGAGCTATGCATTAACAAAGTTTGAAATGAGGGTTTTTAATCTTTGGCATGCTATTGTCTTTATTTGATCATTCTTTGAATAAAATTCCAATGGACAAGTGAAATAAACTGAATGAAAACTTGGAGAAGAAGTTCTGATTTTTAATATCTTCAGTCGGGGATTATTGAGATGCCTTTTGACAATTGAAATATGAATGCATTATGTTGCTTAGAACCCAAGTCAATATTTTTTAAACTGGAACAAAAGTCCATTATCTAAACTCGATTTTTGCTAAAATTGTTTTATAAATTTCATTATAGTTAACAAAAAAATAAACTTATGAAATCTCAATTATGATTGTTCATGTGCCCCTACTGAGAAATGTGTTAGGTATGATGGATGCTATAGATAGAAAAATGTTGGCTTAAGGTTGGATTCCAGGTAAATATGTGCTATCCCGGATGATGGAATTGCATAGCATCATAAATTTCTATATTTTCCTGAACAGATTTACTGAAAATGTTTTTCAAGGATATTCAACAAGAACTTTAATCTTCAGATTCTCTCATTGTTGCAGTCTCTAATGGTTTAGTGAATCCTATTAGCCTATTGTTAGATCAATTAAAAGAGTCTTTTAGCCTTCTGTTAGTGTTATGTCTTATATACTTTCTCATTGTTAGATCAGTTGTGATTCTGTGTAATTCATGTTTCCGGGTGTAAAATTGTTCATACAATCTCACTTTTGCATCTAATTGGTGAGCCAAAAAGAAAATTTTTAACATTTTAAATCCTAATTATCTCTATTTCAGCCAATGCATATTTTTTTCCACCTGAAGGTCTTTGATGCATGTTTTTTTTTTTTTTTTTTAAGTATTGAAACATACATTGTTCGAAATTTGTTGAGCACTAGAAACTTTACAAGTTAAGACTTGCAATTTTATGATGTATGATAACTGTTTTCTATGTTTGTTGTTGATTAAACACATGGGATACAACTCGGTCTTAGACACTTAATAAAGATTTATTGTTTGAAATTAATGGGGCACAGGTTATTCTCATGATATTGGCTGCAAATGCTGCAGTAGGAGTGATTACAGAAACCAACACAGAAAAAGCTCTTGAGGTAACTTTTACATTTATAGCATTTCAGAATTCACATAAATACCAGAAAACATCTTGAAAGACTACCATTTCAAGCGGATCTTTTCTTTCATGCAGAAACCAAGCTTCCTTTTTCTTAACTCATTCTACCAAAACTTCAAATTATGTTCAATTTGGTGATTGGCTGTTAGCACTTAAGTTGATCTATTTATTTCCAATGTACCCTTTTTTATGCATTGCTTTTCTGTTGCATGTTTAGAAGATGAATGCATGAATTCTTAGGTAACCTTCTTTTTGTTCTGTGATGTAGGACAGAGTAGGACAGCGGAAATTAGATTGTATAGCGGAAATAATTCCAAAAGCTGAAATAATTCCAAGAATTAATGATGAACAAAATTATTTCCATTCCATGCATAAACTGGTTAAGTATTTCTAGATGGTCTGTGCATGTTGAAGTTTCAAAATAATGACAAAGTAATCATGCTTTAGGTAAATGCCAACATGAAGACCCAATATAGATCGCCATCAAAATCTCTACCACCCATTTCATCAGCTACTGAAAGAATATAGCAAAGCCACTATTTCCAACAAATTCTTTCAACTCCTCCACGTAGGTGGCCTTCAAAACATGAACATCACCAAAATGTAAACCTGGATGCCGGTACACTAGCACCTCTCCTTGAATTGGCCTGCTGTCACTGCAAATATCATTGGGCCAAAAATTAGCCCTTCAAACGATAAGTGAACCATATCTATTGACATTAAGATCCGCATGGATCGAGAAAGCAACAATGCAGAGTAACACCCACGAGAATGTTTTGTTTCGTATTCATCGTACATAACTCAACATTCTCCCTTTGTAAATTTTTTTTTTTTAAATATTTGCTTTAGCTTTATTTGAGGGATCATTGTTGTGTACCATAGTTGATGGAATTGATCTTTCTGGTTCTGTGCAGGTTCTCATTTGTAGATTGATGGATAGGCCTTTGTGTCCAACTATGTGCAGCGGCTTCTACCATGAAACTCAGATACTCTCTTGGGTACGTTCCATATGAGTTTCTACTGCATATATGTATGTGGCTTTAGATTTGTTAGTTCAATAAATTGTAAGCCTTCATTTTAAAATTATCAGTTTAGTCTAAAAGGAGTGAGAAATGAAGTTGATCATATAGTATGTGTCGTAGTGTCGTAAAAATCTGTCGTAATAGTGATACTGAGTAAATATTATATTTATGAAACAATGCTGGATTTGTTGGATTTCTTTTCTTTTTTGTTTACTGTGGATTCTCGTAGTCTTTTCTTGTGTAATTTTTGGTGCTTTCACAGACCATGTGTGAACTGCATGCCGCATATATTTCTTATGCAAACAGACAATATTTTTTTAGATTACAACTTTTGTGAATTTCCTTTGAAGTTCATCCATTTGATTGTACAGTGGCTCTTGATGTCAGCTGAATTGAATGTAAGTGAAAATCAAACTGCTTTGCTTGGTTCACCCATCTCTTGGTTATTTAAATTCTTTAGAGATGCCTATATGGATTTGTGATTTTGTTAGATTTACTCTGGTGAAATGTGTTATCTGCATTGGTGCATTTTAGGTGGTGACCCCGGTCGTACCGCCTTTGTAGTGCATCTTTTTGTGTAAGTTATTTACCATTCTGCCACTGGCTCTCTCTGCCCCTACTGTTGGTGGATTTCACGTTATTTACAAAATTGCCACTGCCTCTTCATTCTTCGTTCGGTGAGGGTTTCGGGGATGGGAGGCCATGCCACCTCTGAGATAGAGATAGAGATAGAGAGAGAGAGGGAAAGGGAATGGGAGGAGTGGGGATCGCTCGGTGAGGGTTTCAGGGATGGGAGGTCATTCCAATAGAGATAGAAATAGAGGGAGAGGGAGAGGGAGGAGTGGGGATCTCATCGCCATTGCTGCAGATCCTCGATTTCATGAATGGGAGAGGGGGGACAGTCAGGGAAAAGCATGGGGGCCGTCGGGATTTGAGGGAGAGGGGTAGGGATCGTGGCTGGGGGTTTGGGTTTGTCCCTTTGGACCGTTTCCAACAGCACCACTGTGCTCAAACACTCTCTCTTGCAGTGGAACTCTCGCCTCCCCTTACTCAATCCTCTGCTTCTTCTTTGATTCATGGTTGGTTGATTTATAAAAAACCTTCGAGGATAAATTTGGGGTGGGATCTGGGTTTTCTCTGCATTACTTAAATTTTGCATTTTTTTTTCTGGATTTCAATTAAGAAATTAATAAATTTGGGGGTTTCTGATTTTGTGTTTTGCTGTTTATATGCTGGAATAACAGGACAAGGAGGAAGACAAGGAGTTGGACCCTGGATGTGCTCTCCTTCGTCCATCCTGCGTCTGCATGTCCTCATTCACAAGATAAGTATACTTGATTTTCTACTGTTTTGTTTGGTTTTAATTCTCTCTGCCATTCTCACTCCACACTCTCTCTCTCACTCAGTTCGGAGCTTTTCAACTTTTTCGCCCAAATTGCTCAAAAATTCCAGCTCTCAAACATCTCAGATCCCTTACTCACCCTTCTATCATCGACACCCCAAAGGTATATATATCTCTCTCATCGCTTTCAGAATTCTATATATATATATATATATATATTTTTGCCAATGGAAGTTGGTAATTTTGATTGTTCTCCGGGGTTGGTTTTTTTCATGAATAAAGTACTGTGTTTTCGCTATATTTTGGTTTCGAGAAGTTGATGTTTTTGGGTTATGTTCTTTTTTCCCTTTTTTCTCAATTCTCAGTGAGTGGCACTTTTTCTCAATGGAAGATGATAGTTCAAACGTGTCAATGGTTCCAGAAATGCGATTACAAGGTTACGTGCATTCAGTCTACCAACAGCATTTCTATGCATTCGACTCAGACACATGGATATGTTCCAATCTCTGCGACAAGCACTACTGCGAGGCCACTACCATATGCGAATATCTTCATACATGTCAGTTCCCTTTCTCACCCTCTTCATGTTTTATCCAATATTATGTTTTTTTATCTGATTTCATGGGTTTTCTTGACGCTTTTCCGTTCTTTGATATAGGTAATTTGTTGTTATGTTTTCAGGATCTGGGTCTTTTTTCAATTTGCATTTTGGTTGTCCAAGATTTCCAAGTTTTTGTATAAAAATATAAGAACAAAACTGCACATCGAGGAGTTTATGATGAACTTTTTGGAGTGTCGGAAACACTTCGCTTTAGGAATATGTAAAACTACTAATTATTGTTTGATAATCCCTTACATATGTGTGTAATGAATGACTTTGGACTTTACCATAAATTAATTTAATTTCTATTGCGGCAAATCTGGTCATTTTCTGTGTAAGTTTCTCCTCATGGTTCAGTTCTGGCATTCCCCCTCAAAACATCGTTTGTCATTTCCTCTTTTTCTGTGTTCAGCTTACATACCTTTCGTATATATTGGAGACTACGACATCGACTACGACGATAAAAGATGTCAGTTGATTGTATATAAAAGCCTGCTTATCTTATCGATTTCATTCACTCACGTGTTCCTCTATTCATTCATGATTGTGCTGAATTTATTCAGGTTAAATGTGTTTTATTCATGCAGTTACATCTAAAACAGTTGATTCCCATCGCAACGCACGGGCATATTTTCTAGTTATTTCTGTACGCTTTCATTTGCTTTCATCTGCTTCATCTCTCCATAAATGTGAAAAAAAAAAAAAAAAAAAAAAAAAAAAACCTTGCGTTTATCCAAATCAATCCTAGAATCCCGAAAGCAAAATTCATCCAAATCGTTCCAATCTCCCTTCTCTCAGTTCCTTCCCGCTCGATTCTCTCTGGTTGCTTTCTCTAAAATATCCACTCGTCTCTGCATCCTCTCTAATGTTTCAATTTGCCGGCGACGGCCTCTAGGATTCAGGCGATGGCCAACGTCGAGGTTGGTCTCAACTGACTTATTCCCAATCCCTGATATCCTCAGGTTTGCCCCAAAATTGGATCGTTTATGATCCTACTCTCAACGATTCTCCCCATGGATGCTCAACGTCTCCTCGCTCTCCTCTCACTACAACTGGTAAATTTTTTCAATTATTATTCCAATTTTGATTATTGGGTTGTGGAATTTACAGATTTTTTTCTGGGTTATCAACACTATATATATGCATATGACAAGTATAAACAACATTTTAGTCACAGGTTGAAAGTGGGTGTTTGACAGTCTGAATTTGAATGACATTGAGAGCGTATAGTGTCATAATTTAGTCACAGATTCATATAACTTTGATAAACTTTGTCATCCGTAAAATATTCTGAATATGGAATTATTTTGATCTTAAAGATGACATTTGGATGTGCCCAGTGGTATTTTCCTTTGGTAGCTCAAATCATCTCATATTAGTAAGTGGAGTTTTATGTTTGATGAGGCCATTTTTTATAGTTCTTAAGGGCGTAAGTTTAGTTACGCCTTTTCGCTGTTTTAATTTTAACTTCTAATGTTCTGTTACTTTTTGTGAATATTCAATTTTTGCCGGGCATTTGACTGGATATCCAAGGAGCATTTAGATGGAGGGTAATACATACTTTTTTACATGCCAAATAATTTTCTTGAACACACATACGATAATACCTCCTTTCACATAGTAAGAACCAAAATATATGAACAAAAACTTATTTTTTTGATGATCATTTGTTTTCGGGTTTTGATCTATCCATGCAAAGATTGTATGTCGTGTTTTTTGTCTGTTTGAAGAGTTATCTGATGCTTAAGTTTTTTTTTTTTTTTTTTTAATTGTTTGGTAATTTATGGGTTGAAATTTGAATTCAGTTTTAGAACTATAATTAAGGTAGATTTATGGGTTCAATTCAGGAGTAGATAGTTATTGGGTTTCTGTGAAAGGTTGAGTTATAAATGGAGAGTTGAGGTCAAAAGTGTATTTAGTTTGATAATGAATTGCCGACAGATAAGCAGCTGTGTAAACTATGAGTAAACTTTGCGCGGGCACCGTCGCTAGTTAAAATTCTATAGCTCAAGAATAAAAAAGTAATACTCAAATTTACTAACATGGATTCTGAGTAAACTATGAGACATTGAGCATGAAACAATTATTTGTCTTCCTTGTGCCTTCTGCGGGTATGTTCTTTGTCGTCAAAACTACGACTTTGGCTTGAAGCTGCCTCTTTACAATATTCATATGTTCACTTCAAGATTTTCAGTGTTCGTTTGAGTTCTTTCAAATCTTGCTCGTACACTAAACGAGCCCCGCACTTCTTCACCACATTCAAGCCTACTTTGCGTTTGTTCATTCCGAGTGTATAATAAGTTTTAAATAGAAACTGTCCTTGAAGACATTCTTTGCGAGGCAAACAGAATATCCAAAGGTGTTCAGACACAAGAGGCCATTTAAAGAAAACTGTACTCCATGTACTCTGTTTACGGTTAGTCCGAGGTGAACACTGAATCCAGAATCCATCCTCGTTAAGGGCAGCTGGATTTCCCCAGTTCTCCTTTTGTTTTTGAAGAAGACGCAAAATCTCCTTAGGTTGTGCAAAAACAACACAAAAAGCAATCCCCATCCAGCTGCTACAGGATTGTGGAGGTAGCTCCACATCTAGCGCATGTCCCGAAGTTTGATTGTTGAACCACTCGGGAATCCCCTTTCCGGGGCACACAATATGATTATTAGAACAATAGATTTTCTGCACCAAAAGAACCATTATATGAGAGAGAGAGAGAGAGAGAGAGAGAGAGAGAGAGAGTACCTCAGTTGCGTATTTCACGATCCTTGAATACATTGTTTTGATCCAGTTTTCATCTTCCACCAATGTAAAGCAATTCATAGACCAGAAAGCAAAATCAGACAAATTGGATGGATCCGACAACCTTTTCAATGAAGTACAATCACTTAAATATACGTTTAATTTCATATTTGGCGGAATATCTGGCAGTTGCTCGAGTCTTTGGCACTCGTCCAAGTAAAGATGCTGAAGTCGAGAAAGGCATTTCATGCTTGCTGGAAGGGTAACAAAATTGTTTCCACCAAGATGTAACTTTTTTAAAGAGGACAAGCAACCAATATCATCGGAGATATCACCTTCACCAAGATCACAATAAGATAGTATTAACACCTCCAAACAACGCAAATGATATAAAGAAGACAACACCAGACCTGGACAAGGAACATCACTCTTTCTAGTTCCACTTAAACGGAGAAATTTGAGATTTTTGAGATTTTTCATATTAACAAATGGCTCTTTTCTGCACGTATCGAAACTCAGTTTAGTCAGGCCAACCAGATGTTCAATCGATGAAGGTAATTTCTCAATCGCAGTCCTACGTAAAGAAAGCGAGGACAAACTTTTCATCTGCTGGTTCGAAAATTCTGGGATCTTTTTCACTTTGGAGCATCCGGCAAGAATTAAATACTGAAGAGAATCCATTTCTACCTTACTTGGGAGGCTCTTAATACTTTCACAGCCACAAAGATTCAAAACTTTAAGTTTTTTAAGAACTGCAATAGATGGGTGAATCTCAACTAAATTCTTACACCACCAAAGAATCAACTTCTCAAGATTTTGAAGACCAGTGAAATCTGGGGTGCCGATCAATTTATTTGAGTAGCTCAGATCAATACATTTCAACTTGGGAAAGTTCTGTACAATACATGAAATAATATATAAGCTTCTGAAAAAACTTATAATTCTATTTGACATTAAAAAAAAAAAAAGAGTAATGATATATTTACCACTTATTTGTACAACTATTTATACCATCTTTCTAAAAGACGTAAGGGCCATCAACGGATGTGGATCTCATCTCTATAAGAGAAGCGGTACAAATGATGACACAAATAGGTAGTAAGAGTAGCATTTTTGTTATAAAAAAAAAAACAAAGATTTTTTCTTAGCACCGTATATATGGTTGAATGCACCCCACAAAAATTTATTTATTACATACTGTTTTATAAAATGACTATTTAGGGCCTAATAATGAGTTAAAAGAAAAAATCTGCAAACATTAAGAAAAATGATATTATCACGGGGCAATCCAATAACATCTAGATGAAACTAAGGCAAACCAATAAAAATGACACTTGTGCAATCATCCCAATAGATCGAAAGCCGAAGGAGCTAATGCAATCACCCTATTTCCCTACTACTTTGTTTACCACGTAATTGAAAAAATAAGAAACATTCAAGGTAGTCTACGCTGCAAGAAAGGAAAATGATCCCTAATTGACAAAAACCCCAAAATCTATAAAAATAAATAAAGAAAGAAAATAAAATAAAAGAAACTGAAAAATCCTTAAAAAAAAAAAAAAAAAAAAAAGAAACCAAGCAGATGGGGTGTGGTCAACTGTGGGGTATGTATAAAACAACCCATAAAAAAAAAATATGTTAAGTAGCATTCATTCAATATACTCTTACCTCTTTTCCATCCCATAAACGAACAAGTTTGCTATGATGCATTCTTAGTTCGGTAAGGAAACGAGGGTGAAAGCTTGGTGGAAGAGACTTGGAAGGATACCAACTCCAAATTATAATTCTCAAAGAGTATGGAAGAAACTTGGGACTTGAAGAAATGATCAAATTGTCCAATTCTAGAAACCTCAATCCATGCATATTAGAGAAGGCTTCACAACTCCAGTGCACCTTTTCTATTTCAGGTAGCTGTAATCCTATACCTTCAATAGCTCTCGTTCCCTAATAAACAAGAATGTAGGAAACGTAAATTTAACATTTAAGCATATTGCGTTAAAAGAAATCATGTCTTCTTTCAAACTTGGTATTTACATAACGTCTTACCGTATTGGTCGTGAATATATGCAAAATGTCATCAGGAAGCCACAACCTACTCCGTAGACCGGGCTCTTTAGACTCTTGACCAACAATTGTCCATGCCATTTCTTGTATCAAATCATGCATCCATATGAAGAACTTGGCTGAATTATCATATTGGATGCGTTTTTCAATAGTTAAGAGAGATTTCTCAATTAGTAGATCGATCATAATACTACTAGAAACTTCAAAAGAATTGTCTAGTATTGGAATAACTTGCTCCATGCACTTCCCTTTGTGGAAACATGCAACATCGAGAAAAACTCTCTTCTCCATATCCTCTAGTCCGTCATAACTGATTTTGAGTGTATTGAAAATTGTTGAATTAGGAACTGTATGAATATTATCCAACACACTCTTCCATGCATCCTGACCTCTCTTATGCAAAAAAGACCCTAATGTTTTAAGAACTAGTGGAAGGCCTCTAGCATATTTTAGGAAATGCTTTGAGAGTTCCAAAAAGTCTTTCTCAGGTTGTTCTTTCCTAAAGGCATTCAGACTAAAGAGCTCAAGTGCTTCGCAGTATTTCAACCCCGGCATCTTATATGATGTTGCTATACCATGTTGGACTAGCAACCCTTCATTTCTAGTCGTAATCACAATTCTACTTCCCATACCAAACCAACTTTGATTTCCAGCCAGTACTTCTAGTTGTTTTAAATCATCCACATCATCGAGTATGAGAAGAACCTTTTTATTGCGTAAGCACTTCTTAATGAAAATGATTCCGCACTCTTCATCCCAAATTTCTTTAACCTTTTCCTTCAACATCGGAGAAAGAAGTCTTTGTTGAAGACCAATTAGAGTACGGTCTTTTTTAGAAACCTCTCTAATGTTGCCAAGGAAGGAATGAACTTCAAAATGATGGAAGATTCTATCATAAACTAGCTTAGCAAGGGTTGTCTTACCTATGCCACCCATCCCCGTTATCCCTATAAAGCGAACATCATTCGCATCATGAGCTAATAGCGAACTTAGTTGCTCAAGCCTAAAATTAACCCCAACAAATTTCTGTGAAGAATCTAACAATGTGAATGTAGCTTGCACTTTCCTCCACACGCTTTGGACGATTTTTTTAACAAGCTCCCTTTCACACCTACAAAGTATGAAATAACCAATAAAAAAAAACATAAACGAAGCATTCAAGTTTGCCTGTACTAAGACATGGGAAATTATAGTTGTTCATGCATGCTTACTTAGATTCCTTCGAATGCCACCCAGAAATTTTGGATACTTTTTTCAGAGCTTCTCTCCACTGGGTCACCTTCATCTTGTCTTGGGTACTAATGAACTTTTTTTCATGCTCATCGAAGGCTTTGGCAAAAGTCCCCCTCTGATTTCCAACGTCAGATGGATCTGTCTCGTAAAAGACTGGCAGAACTGTGTTCCTGGCTTCCATGCATTGAAGAATGGTTGTAAGTTCATTCAAGCACCATTTGGAAGAAGCGTAGTTTGGTGAGAGAACAACGATTGCAATATGTGATTCCTTGATTGCACTCGGGAGCTCAAGATGAATACTTGTTCCTCCTTCAAGCTCTCGATCGTCAAAGAAAGTTGTAATTCCTTGGCACTTGCACAATTCATGGTATAAATGAGATACAAAACCCTTGCGGGTGTCTACACCCCTAAAACTCAAAAACACATCATACTTCCATCGAGGAGCTGATTCATTCGAAACAAAAGATGCAGAGGCTCTTTGGGTGCTCAATGCCATCGTAAAAAAACCAGTTGCTATAAATCGAGTACTCCGAACAGTAACTGAATGAACAAGTAAATAGATAGAAGATTAATGTTTCAAAATTAAAAAAAAAAAAATTGAAATTTTTTTTTTTATTCGTAACTCAGAACAACACAAATTTGACAATTCGATTTGATCTTACAGTCCTCAATAACTCGGTTTCAACCGTTGAATCAGATTCAGTTACTGGAAAAATGGATTCTGCAAACAAAAACGAAAGAGATTAAGGAAAATGAGCAGTGAAAAGGAAAATAGAAACTTTAAATCTTGTTTTGGTAATTGAAAATGTATATTAACAAAAAGAGATTAAGGACTCAAAGCAAATACCAGAAAAGCAAAATACCGGATCAACAAAAACTTACACAGGCAGAGAGAAGTGAGAAACGACAAGAAAACAAGCAGAAAAATCACACTCAAAATTCTCACGGCAAAGTTGTAGGAAGGGAGGAAGTCGAGAGAGATGTAGGAACGGAAATAAATGGGAGAGAGATGGACAATCGACTACTTATACTGGTAGTGGTGCTGTTGGTGGTGACCACACGGTAGAGTGTAGGTCATAGTGAAAAGCTGAAGGGAAAACGTTAACATACGTATACGGTTTAGCGTGGGTTTTCCACAAAAAAAGTGGAAGACTGACCATGAGAAATTTTCAGGCAGCTTCCTTGTTGGGACGATCATCTGTCTCTACCTTTTCTCTTCTCACCAAAGGGATTGGATGCGAGACTTTTAAGTAAGTTTCCAACTTTCTTGACAGAAACGATATTCTTGTCTCTTTGTTTTTTTTTTAAACTCAAAAAACATCACACTTACATCACATGTCTCTGTTTTGGGTTGTTTGACGGTGCCGTTTTGGACGGAAAGGATAGTCCCACACAAATTAGACACAGCTAGCTGGTGATCTCCCACATCACATGGCCTTTTAGAGTCCACTAGATAATAAGCCCGCGCATTGCGGCAGAAACCAACTGTTTCAGACGTAAAAGCATGAATAAGACACATTTAACTTGAATAAATTCAACAAAATCATGAATGAACAGAGGTACAAATGAGTGAATGAGGTCGATAACATAAGCAGCTTGGCTTTTATATACATTCAACTGAGCATGGCTTATTCAAGGGTTAAAAGGGTAGTTAAACTGATTGAAATAAAAAGAGTCACAACACATGACATGATTAGTGTGTTGTCTGTAAGTTGTGGCCCCATAAAACAGAAACACTTTCCAATGCACAACAATAACAACAATAACAACAATAGGCAAATTCCCAACAATAACAACAACAAAAACCTCTTAGATTTCACTTTCACTTAATCATAGGCATCCACTCATCGGTAACAGATGGAGAAATATGCAGAAATAAGCATCTTGAAAGGGAAAAATACCAATTGAGGATCTCTAATACTTTCAACATTATTTGCAACTCAACTTCAATACCTATTATTGATTAAGAATTAATTCCTAACCCATTACTCAAAAACCTAAATTTCATAAGAAAATTAAGAAAAAAAAAGAGCAAAATTATTGGTAAAACTCAATAATTGTTTCTAAATATAACTTCTCAGAACTTTAGCACTGCTCTGATGATCTATAAAGAAGGCAGCTTTGGAGAGTTTGGAATCTGTTCGTCCCCGGAAAACCACAAATACAATCAAATAAGCTGCCAAAAGAACATTAATAAATGAAAAATACAAAACAAAGAAATAATGAGAAACCAAAATATGCATCTCAAAATCTAATCGCTTTTTAGCCTGCTGGCCATTTTTTGTTCTTGAATTTAGACAGCTAAACCATGACTCAGCACATGAATGAAGCGAGAGTGTAAAAGATAAGTGGGATAAGCTAAAAGTCATCCTCGAGTCATGCATTAACTTTCAACTGTTCCAAAATAGCTAACATCTTTAAAAAATGAATAACTTAAATGCTTAAGTTAGCCATAGGAAGCCTGCAGAACAAAGTTAAACATGAAGAACGAATAAAATGACAGACAGATTTAAACAGCATACCAAAAAAGGAGTGCAACGCTGAATTCTTCTCGACTTACCTATTTAGTGAGCTATGGGACCTATTTAGAGAGTTTACCTATTTAGTGAGTTGTTGGACATATTTAGAGAGTTACTGGACTGAAATGAAGCCAACTCTGCAACAGAGAAACAAATGGAAAAGTCAAAATCCAGAAATCCAAGTTTAACTCAATCAAATATAATAACCAATGAAAGTTGCAAGCTGCAAATACTCAGCAACGTAGACAAAGAAATTTCTTTTTCAAAGACTTAATTGGTCCTCTATTTTATTAATTATCGTTTGAGAAAGGAAATTTGAGACAACACCTCATCCAAGAGAACCATATATGCACTTAAGTCATAGTACAATGGGTGGCCTTCGCTGCTGCAGTGATCTAATGCTTTGGCAATGTTCAGAGCAACTGGTAGTCGTATAGCCCACTCAATAGTCTGATTCTCCCCTGTCAAGGAAATGCGAGGTGAATTTATACCTGAAGAGCTTTGAAAAGCTATGGGCAATAAATTTCAGAGGTCACTTGTTAAGAATATGAGAAAGGGAAAAGCAAAATAGCACTCACAATTTGAAATGAAAATAGCACACGTGTAGATAATAAATCAGCTTTGAAAAAGTGGTTTGAGATCAGAATATTATGCTCAAGCATATCAAATGCATTCTTCAAAGCGATGAATGAATAAAAAAATCAATATCTTATGTAAAAGAAGAGAAAATTATATCTTTGCAGGACTGTGGCCTCATCCAAAAGTCTAGCCAAAACAACATCTTAAAAGTAGTAGTCAAAAGTAAGAAATGAAACTGAAGAAGTAGGAAAAACAAAATGGTTAAACAGAAAACAGGCAACCTTGAAATATCCAACTTTATACATCTGGGTTATCTTTGACAACACCATAGTATCTTTAATCGGTATGGCCTGTGCAAAATGAAATTGTCAATCCCGATTCACAGAGAAGAAAAAACCAACTCCCATATAAATTAAGATGCTATCCAACATCCCTAGTCCTTAGCCCCAATCCCAATCGATAATCCTGACAGCACAAACATTATTAGTCCTAACAACGTATAAATCTATATGCACACATATATTCACACAAAAATATATTTACACACATATATTTAAATACACGGACAAGATTGAGTTCAATCCAAATCTATAGTCCAAACAATGTAATAAACACAAAAGAAACATATATCTAATGTACCTCTAACTGAGACTTGAACCATCTTTCGAGAGTCACCATAGCTTTCCTTTGCCCTTTTTGTCTTTCTAATCTCTGCAGATTTTATCTGGAAACATATAAAAACTACAAAATCACAACTCGCTTATACCGGATCAATGTTTTGCTCTGAAATCTCTATTTTAGACTTAGTATCGACAAACGAAAAGTCTTATATGCAAAAAGATTCATCACAAAGCAACAATACATTTGCAGTAACTGTTTAAATCAGAACACAAGATTATCATGAACTGCAGCATTAGCATTCTAATTAGAAACTTGTAGCCATAAAATTGAAAATTTCATTACCGTGTTTGATCGCATTAAACAATCCGATTATCAATAATTACCTTAGCAGAAGCTTGAATTTCTCTGGCAGCCACATCCAAAGCAAGTGCATAACCTTACACCATCCGATTTTCGCTAATCAGATTTAAACTTAAAACCAAATCATTAACAGCATCATTATATTAAAACTAAATCATTAGCAGCAGCATTACGAACTGATTAATTAAACTAAATCATTAATAGCAACACTATTAACTGACCTTCAAAAAATAAAATAAAAAGTGATTAATTAACAAATAACAGTAACAAAAATTACAAATTTACCCGCAACGTAATCCATGGCGGTGGATTGCGGAACATCAAGAGCTTTCTGAGAGATGATCACCGCCACCTCATGGTCCAACGATACCACCATTCATCAAGCAAGACAATGTCAGTTTGAGGAAAAGCACAGGCTACTTCACAAATCAGAATTAAGAGAAGAACTAGTTGCTTTGCATTCTTCGCAACCCATAGTTTTCCCTCATATCTGAAAGTTCCCAAGAAAGTTAAAAGAGCAGAAGGAAATAATAACTTAACATTCTCCATGTTCCACATAAAGCTCATAATTAATTTTAGAAAACAACTTACTTGGCACGAATAAATTTCTCAGTCCCACTTCTGTCAAAATTTGGTGGCAATTATTTTTCCCAATAACTGTTTCCGTTTTCATTACTCATGGCTGCACAAAAGTACATAAGAGTTAACTAACAGGATAATGAATCAGAACATAGTAGTCATTTAGAAAATATTAAAAACACACAGAGCAAGAATGTGAACACTGAAATTATGTTTTCTAACAAATCAAAGCACCCTAATAACAAAACAATGGAAAATCACAAACCTGGAAGGTCCTCTTGCACTCATCAACCAAGACTTTGAGCTGATTGAGCAGCTGCCGGACCATCTCTCGCCAATTCAAGAGCAAGCACACCATTAAAAATCTCAAAACAAACCGGAGCTGCTTTTTGGCCAAGCTCAGGTCCTCAAACATGCCCTCCTTGAGTACTCTCTGCTTAGAATAACCTCGTAGAATTGCCTCGTATGCATAAGGAAGAAAATGCAACTCAATGAAACAGACTACCGTAAAGTAACTCATGGTTCACACTCCAAATTATAGAAAACAAATGCTAATCAACACACAAAAATGAATAAACGACATGAAATCATTGTATTTGAATAAAATCACTCACCCCTTGATCACTCCAAATGTATGCCATGCGCGCGCACACACACACACACAAATAAAAGGTAACAAATGGTAGGAAGAGCATAAGGTATGTTGAAAACCTTCTTAAAATTAACCACATTTGGATTTGATCAATTACAAAAAAGAATTACCAACTGCATTATAATAACATCATTGTCTCACTAAAAAAACTTGCCAAAATAGTCTCTGTGGTTAAAGGGATTCTGTCTGATCCCAAAACATAAATCTCTCAATCTCTCACTGTCAATCAAATACGTACTAAACCATATTCCAAACCACAATGCATTCAAAGCAATAATCCATTTAGCACACTAAATAAGTAGAAACATTTATACCTCAATCCAATTCAAAGCTTAAATCTTCTTGCTGGAAGAGTTTGACCTGCAAAACCAAATTACATTCATCAAGGAAAAGGAATGAATTTAAAAAGGCAAATACAGTGCAGAAAAATAGGCATTCAATTTAGCTCTATTTATATTAGACGATGATCCACCAAAACAACCAGGAACACAGAAATAAAAAAATTGATAAAACAACCTTTTTCAAAAACTACTGCCTCCACCCTTCCAACTAACACAAAAACATACATCCTCAATTTCTTTCTACAGGTAAGAAAACAAAAATTCTCTAAAACAACCAAAACCTCATTCTATATCAACTAAACAGGAAAAGGACAGAGGAATCAGTGTAATAATAGGTTAGAAAATTGAGATGATCCAAATGGAAAGCAGTTCGTGTTTTTTTTTGGGGGGGGGGGTGTTGGGGAAGGGTGGGGGGAACTGAGAAGGACGACATTGTCGTATGTATATTTCTTGGAGAATGGCCAGACTGCTTGCTGCCACATTGGTTTTTGTCGTAATTTTGTTTTTGGTTTCTTATGCCCAATTTGTGTCTCCTCATGTTTGCTTGCAGTGACAGACTTTGATAGGGTTTCCATTTTATTCCAAGTGAAGAAAGGAATGGGCATCTTGTTATGCTTAATAGATTATGTGTTCAATGTGAATGGAGAGCCAAATCCAAGCAGTAGGGTTTCCATTGACTTCCCACCAAGGAATGCAAAATCTATTGCAACGATAAAGAAAGAGCACAAACTCATAAAATATAATACAAAACCATAAAAAACAGGAAACGTTATTCTCAAAATGCACAAAAATATAAAAACAGATAGATCCCTACATATTCAATCTTCAGAGCACACAAAATTAAAATTTTCTTCAATAAAAAAAGTCAAAGGGAAAATCTGAAATTATATAGGCCAAGCACAAAAAGCTTGGAAGCCTACACACAAAAGCCCCAAAAAACTAGAGCCACACTCAAAATCTGAACCCTAAAAACCAAAACCACAAACAGAAAACTCGTCAGAAACCCTAGAATATCCAAATTCGAAGAGACCCATAGCCCCCACTGCTAGTCCAATCCAGCAAAAAAAATCATAAACCAAGCAAAAAATTAAAGAAATCTCATACCTTCCACCAAAATTCATGATCATTATCCAAAACTCCAAAGTAAACATAAAATCAAATTAACACCTCAATTTTTCTTGTACCTGCATCACCATGAACAAGCTCTCCTATAACCGCAGCAATTCACCAATTCAAATCTGACCCTAAATCGTTAAAAAAAATAAAAAATAAAAAAATCAACACAAAAAGGAAAGGTCAGTACCTATGATTCGAGTTCACACTACTCAGGGTCACCGATGCTGTTAAGGTTATTCATCATTGCTCGATCACTCTTGTTAATTTTCTTTTTCGTTTTGTTTTGTTTCGGCTTTTCTTTAACAGCATAGGCACACAAAACCAATCAAATTCATTCACCTACTTACGCCACAAAAGCATGAATATTTTGTTTCAAATTTCAATCCCAAAAAACAGAACCAATCAAATTCATTCACCAATTGATGAACAAAACACACAATTTTGAAACTCAATCCCTACTATTGCACACAAATTCTTGACTTTTAACACAAAACCCACGTCCAATTCCACATAGCAAAAACTGGACAATCAATTATTTCAATCCTAACTAAAACTTTAACACAATTATAACCGAAACAACTCTGATCACTTTAAAAAAAAAAAGAAAAAAAAGATGGATAGAAAGTGGATGTACCTGTACTACGGAACTGGCTGAAGTGAAGAACACAAAGATTTGTGCTTTGCTGCTCAAATTTGTAGAGTGAGAGAGACAAAGTACCCAGAACCAAAATAGAAAAAACCAAAAACTTCAAGTTAAAAAAAATTAGAGAAATAAATTCGAAATTTTAGAGAGACAAAGTGAGGAGAGAGAAATGGGCGGAGGACCTTGGGCGAGGAGGCCATTGACGGCTTCGTTGGGGAGGACCTCATTGCAATTTTTTCACAATCTCCTTTAAGCTTTGCCCCAAAAATTAAAAGCAACATATCATGATTGAAGAACACAGCAGCTGAAGAGCACTGCCGCAGTTCCATCAAGTAGCACGACCAGTACAGCAAAGCAAGAGCGAAATATGGAGTCCTCGCCTCATGCTCGTGTAAAGAAGCAGAGCTGGAGGACGCCGCCGCGGTTCGAGGTGGAGCTGGACGGGTTCAACTGCTCTGAGACTCTCGTGTCTCGTTAACTACAGCAGGTTGAGGTAGGTGGAAAAAGGATGAGAATGGCGAGAGAGATAACCCATTAATTAACCCCAAAAAATGCCCACATCCATGCTTTTTTCTCCTCTCTCTCTCTCTCTCTAAAATCGGAGAAAATCCCATAGGTGGACCTAGCTAAATCCCTCTCTCACTCAGTCCAAACCCGTACCTCGCATCTCTCTCCAATCCGTCAGTCCCTCTGTCCCCCTCCTCTCCTCCCCCCAACAACCCTCTGACCGACGCATCACTCATAGGACACCCACCCGCACGTCCCTCCCGAAAATCCTCTCACCTAAATCCCGGCAAACGTCTCCCTCTCAACCCTTCTGTCGCCCTTCCCTCTCTCTCCCCGAGTCAAAAGCCCAGATCGAGCCGAAACACTGAAGGCCCGTTCTAAAGCCCAGTGGCAATCTTGTAAATGAAGCAATTAGTAATTAAATAAAACGGATTTGGATCCTCTCCGGGTCCCTCCCTGGGAATTCCGGGAATCAAGGCACAAAGACCGTTCATCAAAGATCGTGCGATCATAATTAAATATTTTTTACGTAAAACGAGATTGCTTTACTTTTAAAAATATAAAAAGCATTTATTTGTGGCCGCACGATCTTTGATGAACGGTCCTTATGCCTTGATCCCCAAGGAAGGGGATCTGGAGAGGATCCAAATCCAAATAAAACAACTCCTAGTGATTTTTTGGTCATTTATTCTGACTGGTCAGAGTAAAATTTATCGGAGAGCTCCTAAAAAAGATTTTTGTTAATTTTAATTAAAACTTATCATATAGGAGGATTAGATATGCTCTCAAGACTTGGTTTGAATGGGCAGCATATCCCACACTATCTGCCGCCACCAGCACAATTTTGGTGCCTCTCAAAAACTTTTGGTGCCCCATATCGATGTCGATTGTGTTTCCCATCCCAATGGAGATTGATGAATATTCTTGAAATGGTTTCATCACAAAATATCCCCATTATTTACTTTGGGCCTAACGAGGACTTTGAAATCGTGCAAGATCGGCTTTTCTCCAACAACACGTACCATCTGCAATACATCAACATCCTCTGGTCGGATTCATTTCATGGCGAATGTTAAATGAACTTTCTAAAAAGGGAGACTATTTATAAATTTTATGTCATCTCATAGGTTAATGTAAATTTTTATACTAATATTATAAAATATTGTGCTAAAAACATACGATGTTAGAGTTGTTCTCTCCATTCCATTTCTTACTTGAATGGATCATTGGATGGATACTATCCCAAGGTTCTTTCAAGATTGTTGAAAACCATAAATGTTTAGTAAAACAAAATTTTGGAAGTACCAAGAGTGAATTTAATTAAATATTTTGAGAGTAGACACTATCAAACATAGGGAATTTGATTAGAAAAACTCTTACAACACTCTTTCCTTTTGCTATTTTTTTGGATTCATTGCGGTGACATAGTACTTTTAATGCGACTCATGTGTGATGAAAAAGTTGTTAGTTAAACATTTTTTGTGAATCATGTTGGCAATTATAGTCCAATTGAAATTTTCGATAGTGCCATGTTAAGTAAAAGTTTAAAATTGTTATTTCAAACAATTGACTTAACTATTTGTGTTAAATTGGGTTTAAGTGCCACTGGAATTTAACACAAATTAAGAAAAAAGTAAGAAGCTTGAGGTTCAAATTGAACAATGATGATTCTTTAAATTCTTTGTATGAGAATCATTATTAAGAGTTTAGTGTGTACTGATACCATATCCTCTCTAGGACATCTCCAATGGAATCCTCGGATTCCTACAACCCACTACGGTTTAGTAGTTTTCCTCTTCACTTGTAAGTGAGAAGTTTTAGGTTTGATTTTTGTCAAAGGTGAATTTGAACTACATTATTGCTAGCCCAATGTGAGGCTATGCCCATCCCCTCCTCTTTAATGTAGATAATTATCATTTGTTCAAAATAAATAAATAAATAAGGAGGGTTAAGCCTCATTGGACTACTATAATAATGTGGTTCAAATTTACCTTTCACGAGAATCAAACTTAAGATTTCTCATTTACAAATAAAGAGGAAGCTAGAATCGAACAAAAATGTTAGGTGTCCTTAACAGTAAGGGAGGAGTGTTGGTCTTTCTAGAATTGAACGAAAATGCGTACATGTTTATTTTTGAGTATTGAAAGGAATCTCAAGTTTAAATTTCACCTATGAATTAACTAAGGAAACATAGCTGCATGATTATGACATTTAGCCCAACAAACAAAAAAAGCCCCCATACATAACGATTGCAAGTCCAGAAATCTGAACAAAATATGGCAATGGGGTTAAAAGCCCAAATTTGACTTCCACCTACCTCCTTCACAGCCCAGTCTGAATATATATTAATTTGATTTCAAATATTCCAACGAGGCAAACCATCCAAAATTCCAGATTGTTGACGTCATTAAAGATGAACAAAACTTGTTGGCCCTTTATCTTAGTGGTGAAAATGTATTATGTTTTTTATATGACAACGTGAGTTTAAACTCCATCGGTAGTTAATATAACATTTAACTAATATTATCGCTCCACTCAAAAAAATATAAAATAATTAAGGCGATTGATTACTCTCTCTCACTCGATCACTCATATTCAGTAAGTGAAATTCCTGGCTGGTTCAGTAATCAAAATACCTACTTTGTTTGTACACTTATTACATGCTACAAATACAATGCGGTTTAATAATAACATAAATCTTCAAACTTGCAGCCGTATATATGCTTGATGCACCATTGGTGACGAAGAGAAAGCCGGTGTTCCAAGTGTTAAATCTGGTGTTTATACCACACTTGCATCTCGGACTGCACACTCCTTTCAAGCTCAACTGTCTTCTTCATTCATGAACATTCTTCCACGTCCCAACACAAGCACTGAATTGTGGCAAAGAAGAAGAACCGGACAAATGGTGGTGAAACTGACCTAGCTAGAACGTAAGCTTCATTCCAAAAGGCAGCAAGCTGCAACAACAATCGCAGCAGACTCAACGTTAGCTTGTAGGTTTACTCGACAGAAGCTAGTTCTTCAGACTCCTCTAAGCTACAGATTATGTGTACTAGGGAGGACTGACGAAAACCGTCACCACAAATGAAGCAATCATTGGATTAACGTACAAGAAATTATCAGGTTTCATACATATAAACTTTATGCAATGAATATGAAGAAAGACCAGAAAGTCAAAGGGTTTTACGATCATACGGAGATTCAAAGACGGTATACGAAATTCTAAACTGAGGAGTTAATTTTGAACAAAACTAATTTTCTTCTGCAAGGGAGACAGGAAGCTAAAATTTTCAACAATGATGAATACAAGATAACATATGGAAGAAGAGCACACAAGCCGAAATTAATTGACAAGAAGAATTCTACAGTATTTATTTGTTTTACCTGCAAATATCTATGCTAATCCTCCACTGCCTCCTTAACCATGCTTGACCCAACTACAAAGACCAAAGAATAAATCAAACTATTAGAGTACAAGGAGTCAAAGAAGTGACAAACAAAACATTTGCCAACAGAAAATACAGACCGGCAACTCTCCAGAACTGCTTGAATAAAACTTTTGGAAGAACAGTCACATCCCGTCACATCCACTAACCACGAGTGAAAGGGAGGGGAAAGAATGGCTGAAAACAAACCTAGATTGTGGATGTCGATAGTATCAAGTTTAGCATGGGGCAGATGATTTCTATCTTGGCACCGCGTGTTTGAATTCATACTAGAATGGTTAATTTCTCATAGGATATACTATATATAATGTTTCAACACTCGTTTTTGTGTAGGTTCTGGAGTAGTAACAGATTGGACAACTAAAGCCTCAGCTCTCTTGGCAAGTTGTGCAAAAAATTCAGAAACAATACGAAAAAAAGGGTAACTGAAAACGAATATGAGGCCCTGGAGGCTGAGACAAACTTGTTTTGGAAACTTAAAACATCTAGTTTTCGATTTATGCTACTTCTTTCTGTTTGCACAAGATCGGAGGTAAGAAATAATCAGTATCCATTAACACTTCGGCTGAAGTAGCTAGACATGCAGGCTTATTTTTTTCTTTGAATGAAAAAAACATAAATAGAAGCTTTCATGAGGTCAATTTTTTCTTAACGCAGTTTTAGACAGTTTGTTGATATGACCCTCACCAATTGGCCTGCTGACTGTATCAAACGTAATATACAATATCTGGACTTGATTGAACCTATAACAGAAAACATTTAAGTACAAAAAGATACTTACCAAATTCCAACATCTGCTGCTGAAGTTTCGTTCTGAAAATGATCAAGCTGAAAATAACCCTGTATGATAAACTTCTCATCCTGCACAGAAACAGATATTCACTTTTTTGTTATGTCTTAGCCCTGCCATTAAGAATCTACTTTCAGGTTGAGTTCAAAATTATCAGTATCCACAATAAAGAAAAGATTCACAAACACAACATTGTTACAGAATATCCTGCATTTATGTAAAGAACCATGACAGATTCCTTAGGGGTTTTCAGATATCATGATCGGCACTGCTCAAGCACTTGCTTTATCTCTGAAGCTAATTTATTTGTTCAAAGCATACTAAGTTTTGCTTCAATTCGGCTGATGCTGAAACTATCACAATATATTTTGCTTCCCAATCTTACATCCGAACATATATATCATTGTACTTTTTGTCAACGCCATCGCCATGTTATACTTTACCTTACTATTAGAGTAAATTGTAGCAATGGTCCCTCAACTTTAATCAAATTGGAGCATGGTCCCTCAACAAAATATCTATTGCCTTTGGTCCCTCAACTTATCAAAACGTGTAGCTATGATCTTTTTCGTCAACTTCGTCAGAATTTTGTCAAAATGATGTTGGAAGGACTATTATGAATTTTTAGTTGAGGGGCCATAGCTTTATATTTTGATGAGTTGAGGGACAATGGTAATGGATTTTTAGTTGAATGACTATTATTCTAATTAAGTTAAAGTTGAGGGACCATTGCTACAATTTACTCTTACAATTATCTATGAAATCCTATAAGGTAAACATCTCATGTATGCAAGGCCATTCGAGAAAAACTAAGCACAATAAGATTGTATCACAGTATAACGATGTTTCAGCATTTTTTGCAAACTAAAATTAAACAAAATGTAACAAGAGACTTATCCTCCTCCTATCTAATAGAAGAACAAAAACAGAAGGGTA